GCACCTGTGTATGTCTATGAAGTCATCGGGTAGATTTCATTGGTAATGTTTATCACCTCTACCAATTAACATGATGTAAATTTCCATGCTTCCTCCTCAAATAGTAAATTTTAAGTGAAATTAATTTTGAAAAGTGTTCCATCAAAAATTAAGTTTTCTAAGCCTTGAGAAATAACCAGTTTAATATATTACTTTTAGACTTAGATATAATGCACAGAGAACAAAATGATAAGTAGGCCCTAGCTTATTAACTTTAATAGTGTCACAAGGAAAATAAATAACATTATTGAGTAAAAAGTTTGAAAGTATGAAAAAGTAAACTAATTCTGCTACCTACAGCTACCTTAGTTTCTTAGTATGTTAATTAGTGAATGTGATCGCTACAAAGATCAAAAACAAATTCAATGAAAATAATCATGATAGAATTTGCATTCCATTTTCTCTGTGACCATAAGTTGTTAGATATTGCAACATATGTAACATAAACCACACTTCAGCTGTTTCCTGCTTCACTGTTGACAAGAGCCCCATTCATAACTCTTCTTTTTATCCTTTCAGTGAATAAGTAATTATTCAATAAAGAAGGCAGGGTATTTGGAACTGGCTATTTAATGTGGCAGCACTCTGTAATGAAATCTGCTGTTACTGGCAACCTGAGAAGGGAATGTAACAATTCCAGCACCACTGTAACTTTATCTGCTTTGACTGACTGTTTATTTGGCACATCAGTGGACCTTTTATCCTAGTGAGTGACAGCTCCAGAAGGGTCACATTTACATCCATTCTATCATGTATTGTAATATTTAATGGCGGACAAGGTTGAGCGAGACTAGGAGTAATTTGAACTTGCTTTTCCACTGAGTTGAGGCTAAAAGACAGCTTGATCCCCAGTATTGTGGTGTAACATGCTATGACTTAGCATTTGTTTATGAAGGCTAATCTTACTGATTACAATTTAAAAAAAAAGATAGTAGAAAGAGTGTTTGTTGTATAAAACTAAAACTTTCCAGTATAAATTCTTTTAAATTAGTGTGTTGCTTACCTTTTTTTCCTATCAGTGACTGTTTCACAGTATTTCTCTTAAATGAAGCTTCATTCTGTCTCATTTGGTGTAGAAATTGAAGCTTTGAAGGGAGTAGTTAAGTACCTGTTAGTTCTCATAGCATTAAACTTGTAAAAAGAAATTTTTTTGATAATTTGGAAGCAGGAGATACACAGGTAAATATTAGACTATATTCCTGATGTTCCATTATTGTATTTAAGGAGACATTTATATAACTATTTCATTTATGACACTGAATTACTGGTGAAATTATCTAGGAAAAACTTTCTTGGGTAGCAGTTTTACTGATGGCTTTGCATTTCATGCATGTAATTGGATTTCAGACATACTTGTTCTGTACTGGCAACCTGCTTTTACTGTCAAATGTTAATAATTTGCATTCATTTTCATACTTTTGCTAGAGAAGAATTTTCTTTACTTTGTAGTGATATTTAAGATTCAACTTGTTTGTATCTGTTCTTTGGTAGATCATATTTAAAATGCTTTCTTAAAACATTGATGTGGAATATTTGAGCTATACTATGAGAAACACTATCAGTTCTAAACATCAGTTTACATGAAACCTAAGAGAAATTGAAATCATCGTTCACATTTTCATATAATTTTAAAATATAATTCATGAAAGAGAAGATTAAGATATACTTAAAACATCTATATGCTATTAACAAGCCCAATAAACTCGTTATGATTTTCCAAAAAAAATAAAAATTTGGACTCAGAGTCAGTGTGGTATATTAGAAAGAATGCAGACGTCAGAGCATCATTTATACCTTTGAAAACATAGAAGGCTAACTTGTGTAAAGTATATAGTTTCTTCTTTAATGATGAATTTTTAGATACTATAATATCTAAAACTTTTTTATTTGGTCATTGTGATTTGTTACATACAGGTTGTGATTCCATGAGAGGTTTTGTAACATTTGCTTGGTAGTCCAGACATTGGTTATATTTTCTTTCCTTTGTTACAGCCCCCTGGCCCCTGTTCCTGGTGCTGTTGTTCTACTAAACAAGGAAATGGACAAGAGTCTTCAAATACTATTAAGAAGGATCATGCGGGACAATCCAAGAGACCCAAAATATATTTTGGGACACGCACACACAAGCAGATTGCTCAGATTACTAGAGAGCTCCGGAAGACCATGTACTCAGGGGTCCCGATGACTATTCTTTCCAGCAGGGATCATACTTGTGTTCATCCTGAAGTAGTTGGTAACTTCAACAGAAATGAAAAGTGCATGGAATTGCTGGATATGAAACATGTGAGTAAAGTTACTTTGATTTAGAGAAAAGAGGCTGAAAAGATTCAAGTTTCTTGATATATGCTTTATATGTACTTTTCTAGTGATCATCAAATAACATGAAAATCAAATTAATTGCTAATATTGGTATATTTTTGAAAAAACAATTTTACTGTAAGAAAATCATAATTCAAGTTAAAATAATAGATTTTGGTCCTAAAACTAGCAGATATTTAATTACATGACATTAATTTCTATTGTATTCTGATGTAATCTTCTTTCTTTTAAATCTCTCTACCAAAAATAGTTGTGTGGATTATGTCCTATAAGGAGATAAAAATGTTTTAAGAATAGAGTCTAATTAGATCTAATGAATGTATTTTACATATTTAAAAACTTCAAAATAACTTTAGGAAGAGCAAATTTTGAGTTTTTTAAAATTGAGAAATATGATTCTGATGTTATAAAGTGTTCTCTTTTAAAAATTCTATCAAGTTATTAACTTTAAAACAATGTCATAAATGGCTTAAAGATTTTCCAGGAAAATTGGAATGGTATAAGTAGAACAAAAGAAGTCTTTCTAACCAAAGACATGATTTTAAAATATTGTTTTAGGCCTTATTATTTTGAGAATCTGCTTTTAGTATAGTTATTTTGTCTAAAATTGAAGTCGCAAGAATGTATTTGTGTTGTCTTCAGAAATTATCTGTGACCCAGTATATGAAATGAAACAACAGTTTCTTCTGAAAGTTTTTCTGTGTCTTTAGTATTTTACCAAATATCCCAATATTTTCATTTCATTGATGTATCACTTCTCACCATATAATATGGAGAAATTTTGTGTTGTTTCTTTCTCAGTGTTTTATTTTAACAAGATTAGAGTTTACTAAGGCTTCATTTAGGCATGTTCAGGAGATATTTTAATAGCTGTTTAAACCTGATATAGTATAAGAGAAAGTGCAAGTGTTAAGGGGTTCCATTGGAAAAAACCCAAGTGATACTTTTAGAGCCAGGAAGAGAATATAGAATTATTCAATCAATACCATGTTGTCATTTCAGAGTCGTGTTAGTTTCTGTTTAAGTTCTTTCTATATAGTTGAAGAGTTCTAAGATCTTTTCATTGTATATGTTTTGAAAGACCTCAAGACCAGTTGAAAATGATAAAACACCCCCCCGCCCCAGAAAACCTCTTTATTATAAAACTACAAATATATTTAAGTAGACTTCTTTCCATGAGTGACTAACTGATCTGCTAAATTCCTCAAGTGCTTCCTGGTATTGTCATTGTATTTTTTTTTTAATCTTTTTTGTTTGTTATTGACAAAAATCATTGTGTATTTGTAGTAAATACATAGGTTAATAAAATACATGAAAGCAATTAAAAAGTTTAAGGCAGGACCTGGAGAGATAGCTCAGTGGTTTAAGAGCGCTGGCTCCTCTTGCAGAGGATCTAGGTTCAGTCCCAGCACCCACATGGCAACTAACTACTGTGCCAAACTCCAGTTCCAGGGGATCTGATGCTCTCCTCTGGTTTCTCCAAGCACTGAATGCATGGGTGTACTTACATACATGCAGGCAAAACACGCATACACATAAAATAAATACAATTTTTTTTAAAAAAATTAAAGTTTAAAGCAAATAGTTTCATTTTGTGTAATCTTCTAGAATCCTGCAATCACTGTTTTTGATTTATCTTTATTCTAATAAGTTTGAATTGCATAAAAATGATTATGATGCTCAGAACTTTTTTTTTTTTTTTTTGGTGTTTTTTGAGACAAGGTCTCCCTGTAGTCCCACCTGGCCTAGAACTCGCTGTGTAGACCAGGCTGGCCTTGAACTCACAGAGATCCGCTTGCCTCTTCCTCCCAAATGCTGGGATTAAAGGTGTGCACCACGATGCCTGGCCTGGTCAGAACTTTTAAAAAATATTTATTATTTATTATTATTATGTGTATGAGTGTATTGCCTGCATGTATGCAAATTTACCGTGTTATGCAGTGCCCATAGAGGTCAGAATAGGACATTGGATCCCCTGGAACTGGAGTTATAGATAGTTGTTAGCTGCCATGTGGGTGCTGGGAATCAAACCCAGGTCCTCTGCATGAGCAGCCAGTGCTCTTAAGGGCTGAGCCATTTCTCCAGTCCTGGTGCTCAGAACTTTTCATTTGCTTGAAATGAATAAGTATTTTATTTTTAATATTAGTGATATAAATAAATGAAGATGCTTGCTTGTGGTTTGCTTTGACTTAATTCTGCCTGGAATGCTTACTTACCCCCTGGGTATACAGGAGCATTCTTTTTCTTGTTCCTAAGTCCTTTGAGTAATTTGGTATTGTAATGAGGGCCAATTACAAAGTTACCTTAGGTGTCTGTGCTTACTGTGGCTGATTTACCAAAGTGAAATGATAAATAGATAACTGACACTTGAATGAAAAGGGTTTAAAGTGTGATAACACACCAGCACCAGCAGACAGACTCCGTTCTGGGTTCTGTTACACAGGTAAAATGGATGAGCTTTTGGCTTCATTATCAGCCTGCACAGGGCTGTCATTCTGAGAGCCCTGAAAGTGTGAACTTTCTGATCTGAATGCACAGGTGTTTTTGTTCACTCTTTCTTTATTAAAGAAACACACTGGAATGGTCTGTGCTTCTCTGTTAAAGTTAATTTTTGTTTCAAATAAGGGAAAATAATTTTCAGCTGAATCAGAAATGTCACTTTTAAAAGATTTTTTACTTTTTTATTTTATTTTATGTGTATGTGTGTATTGCCTGCATGTAGGTAAGTGCACCCGTGTCGTGCAATGCCTGCAGAGGTCAGAAGAGACTGTTGGATTCCCTGGGACTGGAGTTACGGACAGTTGTTAGCTGCCATGTGGGTGCTGGGATTTGAACCCGGGTCTTCTGCAAGAACAACTAGTGTTGTTCCATCTCTCTAGCCCCTTAAAAGATTTTTTAAAAAATATTTTATTTAATTTAATTTTGTGTGTATGAGTGTTTTGCCTGTAAGTCCATCCGTGTTGTGAAATGCTCATGGAGGTCAGAAGAGGGCATCAGATCCCCTGGAACTGGAGTTAGAGATGGTTGTTAGCCACCATGTATGTTTGGGAATTGAACCCAGGTCCTCTTCAGGAACAGCCAGTGTTCTTAACTATTGAGCCATCTCTTCAGCCCTTAAAGGAAGTTTTAAATACATAATTATCTGATTTAAAAAAATTCAAATGTAGTGCCAGGCATGGCGACACACACTTTTAATTCCAGCACTTGGGAGGCAGAGGCAGGTGGATCTCTGTGAGATTGGTGCTACAGGGAGACCCTGTCTCAAAAAAAAAAAAAAAAAAAGAATCGAATGTAGCTTAGCATGTAAAAATTGAATAATTCAATAGTCATAGGTTCTGAGAAGACGTTAGTAATTATTTGGTATAAAGATTAGCTTTCATAAATCTATGCAAGATGTTTAGAATGAAGAAATGGTAAACATCATATTAATGTGAATATGTATCAGAGAGCTGACTGGCACATCTACCTGTCTCAGGGTTCTACAGTCACAGAGTTTCAGAGCTGGAAGGAATCTTAGAGGTAGTATTGTCAGTGAGTCAGAAGGAATCTCTTTTTTTTTAAGATTTATTTATTATGTTTTTTAATTTATGTGTATGTGTGTGAGCTGGGTGCATGCAGGTGATTGTTAACCAACTGGTAAGTGCTGGAAACCAAACCTACGACTTCTGCAAGAGCAATAAATGCTCCTGACCAAGAACCATCTCTGGCCCCTCAGAAGGAATCTTAAAAGGCTTCTGGTTTGTCTACTCTTCTGATGCTTAGTCACATGAGAAAAATGGCCCTAAAGTAATTTCCTGCCCAGACAGGAAATTAGCAAAAAAGTTCAGAAGCCAGAACCCATTTTCTAACTTCTAAACCATTGCTATTTTGATTGCATTAGAAAGAAAACCAAAAACATTAAAGAATGGTGAAATTGAAACAGTATCAAGGCTTAAAAACATAGTAGATATTAGGCAAATAAGTGAAAATGAAGTAGAAAGTGAACTAAATAAATAAGAGTTAGATGAACAGTACTTCCTAGTTAATTTTAACTTTGGAGAAGTACATAGCTTCTCTGATACCTCTGATTGGAGAGTCAGGACTACTTTTCAACTGCTCACTTTTTGTCTTTTTATTTGCTTGCATGCTTTTGTAGGTTGTAAACTCTTTATGGTTTGATCTATTTCTAGCAATTTGTAGGCATGTTAGAGTATATAATGTATGTTTGAATGTGTGTGCATGCACATGTGTGTACAAGTGTGCCTGCACATGTGTGTGAGGTCAGAGGTCAATCTCAGATGTTGCCTTGGGTGCTGTGTACCTTGTTATTTGAAATGGGGTCCCTCACTGGCCTGGAACTTACTTATTAGGCCAGGCTGGCTGCCCAGAGACCTCCAGGGGCCTGCTTGTCTCTGCTTCCCCAGTGCAGGGATTGCAGGCACACACTACCATTCCTGGCTTCTTCACGTGTGTTCTGGACTTGAAATCAGATCTTAATGCTTGCATCACAAGCATTACTGACCCTAGTGCCGTATGTAAGTTGTAAAAACAAAAGACTTTTTGGATTAAATATATAAGATGTACATATATAAATAGATAAAATGCAGACATGTATATATTTTCACTTATTAAGGATGTCAGAAAAGAGAAATTTTTTGGTGAATTTCATACTATATATTTTTTTGGACATATTTTTATCATATTTGGATCCCCTCCCATATCTGCACCCCTCTTTCAAATCCTTACATCAAATTTCTATAATATATGGTCTAGATACTATAGCAGTGCTTTTCAAAAAAAAATAAACATTCATTATAATCTTTTTCCCCTTTTTAAACTGATTTTTTAATAATTTTCATGCAATATATTTTGATCATATTTAGATCCCCTCCCTTATCCACCCTTACTACCCCATCCATCAGTTGCTAGTAGTTCCTCAGATAGGGTTGGGGTTTCTTTTTTAAAAATATTTTATTTTATATGTATGAGTATATTGCTTGCATGTATGTAAATGCACCTGTGTTGTGCAGTGCATGCAAAGGTCAGAAGAGAGTGTCAGATCTCTTGGAGCTGGAGTTATAGATGGTTGTTAGCCACCATGCAGGTGCTAGGAATCAAACCTGGGTCCTCTGCAAGAGCAGCCAGTGCTCTTAACCACTGAGCCATCTCTCCAGCCCCAGGGTTGGAGTTTCTTACCCACTTCCCCAAGTCTATGTTGGGATTTTTGTCTGGGTTGAGCTTACGTGGGACTTGTTCATGTTGTCAGCGTTGCTGTGAGTTTATGAGTTGCCTGGAAAACTCTTGTTTTCTGAGGTCAATCACCTGCTCTGTCTCTTACAATCGTTCCTCCCCATCTTTTGTAATGATTCCTGATTCTTGGCAGGCAAAAGTTTGATATAGGTGTCCGATTCAGGGATAAGCAGTCTGCAGCCTCTTGTTCTCTTTATGTTGGCCAGTTGTGGTTCTTTGTGTTAATCACTATCTGCTGTATAAAGGTGCATCTCTGCTGAGAATTGAAAGATACATTAATCTATGTGGTATAATAGTAAGTCATTAGAAATCAGTTTGATATTATATCTGTTTAATAGAATAGTTGTAGTAGGCTTTTTCCCATGACCTGTGGGGTGTCTAGCCTCAGGCTCCTCGACCTAATATCAGTGTCAGGTATGGGCTCTATCCTATGAAGTGGATCTTTAATCCAGTTAGAAAGTAGTCGGTTACTACTATAATATTTGTGTTGTTATTACACAAGTAAGCATATCTTCCAGGCCAGTTGTTTTAGCTCGCAGCTGGGTAAGGTTCATGCAAAATTTTCTCTTTAGGTATCTTACATTGCACCTTCCAACACTCTGAAAGCTAGGCAGTAGAGAGGAATTTTTGAAGTCAGCACCAGTTTGATTTCTTCTTGTTTGTTCTACAGTTCATGTTTGTCTTCAGTAGTAAGGTCTCTTGAAATTCTGGTAGGTAACCAAGAGCAAAGGTAGTGGTCAGTATTTCTGAGGGTCTGTGGGACACCTGGTCAACATCTTCAAGAGAGGGAGTCTATTCCTGACATTGGGCTTTTACTTTGCAAGCCTATGGTATCTAGTAGGGGCAGTGTCCTTCTGTTATAAGGTAACTCCTTTTTTTTTTTTTTTTTTTTTTTTTGAGACGGGGTCTCCCTGTAGCCCCAGCTGTCTTGGAACTCACTATGTAGACAAGGCTGGCCTCGAGCTCACAAAGATCCGCCTGCCTCTGCCTCCCAAGTGCTGGGATTAAAGGTGTGCACCACCATGCCCGGCCTTAAAGTAACTCCTTTTAACTCATAAAGAGAAATACTTATCTTTCCTTCCTTGTTTCCTTCCTTTCAGTACTGTCACATTATTCGAAATTGAAAGGGGACAAGAGAGTCTATAGAAGTTTTCTCTCCTATGCCTAAATCATTCTTAAAAGCAACCAGTGGCTGGGCGTGGTGGTGCACGCCTTTAATCCCAAGCACTCAGGAGGCAGAGGCAGGTGGATCTCTGTGAGTTCAAGGCCAGCCTGATCTACATAGTGAGTTCCAGGACAGCTGGGGCTACTGCGAGACCCTGTCTCAAAAAAAGACCGAAAAAAAAAAAAGCAACCGGTGATACTCTTTGTTTATCCTTTAGAAGCACTTTGTGCCTAATGTCACAGCCACAACAAGTGTAACTAAAAGTATTTTTCTTGGGGCTGGAGAGATGATTCAGTGGTTAAGAGGACTGGTTGGTCTTGCAGAAGACCTGGATTCAAATCCCATCACCCACATGGCTGCTAACAATTGTCCATAGCTCCAGTTCCAGGTGATCTAATGCCCTCTTCTATCCTCCATGGGCACTGTACAACACAGGTGTACTTACATGTATGCAGGCATAACACTCATACACATAAAATGAAAATAAATTAAAATTTTTTTTCTCAAGAATATTTGGATCATCTTGAGCTCTCTCTAATTTAATCAGTTGCTATATTTTCTTTAAAATGGTTGCAAGTGTGGCCTATGATTCCAATTACTTGGGAGGATAAGGCAGGGGGCTCACTTGAGCCCTGGAGTTTGACGTAGGTTTGGGCAACATAATGAAACCCCTGTGTCTCTGGAAGAAAAAGTAAGATTGTGACTATAAATATAGTATAATTTGTTTTCTTTATAAAATATTTTGGGTTTATGGGGCTGGAGAGATGGCTCAGTGGTTAAGAGCACTGGCTGGTCTTGCAGAGGACCCAGGTTCAAATCCCAGCACCCAGATGGCAGCTAACAACCATCCATTACTCCTGTTCTGGGGATATGATGCCCTCTTCTGACCTCCAAGGGCATTGCATGACACGGGTTCACTTACATGCATGTAGCCAATACACTCATACACATAAAATAATAAAAATAAGTAAATAAAATATTAAAAAAATATATTTTGGATTTAATACTTTTTCTTAAAATTCTGAGATAGTTTGCCAGGCTTTGTGGTACTTGCTTTTAATCCCAGGTAGAAGCAGGCAGATCATTGTGAGATGAGGCAGCCTGGGATGCCAAGTTCCAGGCCAGCTAATCTGAGATAATCTTTATTCTATTCCTAAATTGGTTCACATTTTGGTTATATGTGTTTGTTTTTAGGGAAAATCCTGCTATTTTTATCATGGTGTTTATAAAATTGGTAATCAACAAACACTACAGAACCTTCAAGGAATGTGCAAAGCCTGGGATATTGAAGAACTTATCAGCCTAGGAAGAAAGCTGAAGGCGTGCCCCTATTACACTGCTCGAGAACTCATGGAAGGTGCGGACATAATATTTTGTCCCTACAACTACCTTCTAGATGCACAAATAAGAGAAAGTGTGAGTATATATAAAATTAGAAGAACTTATTCTCTCTTACTGGAATATAAATAATGTAAAGCTTTTAGACGCTTTTATGCCTTTTCTTCCTTTGTATTGAATTTATGTAAATTTATATAAACATTATAGTGCTGAAAGCATATTTTAAGGTTAATTAAGAGGTGAATTTTAGACCTTGTCATTTTAATTTCCAAGGTAATCAACAACTTTAAGGCCCTAAGTGACTGAAATGGAACTGCAGTGTGTTCCTCAACCTTGATTAGAGTGACTTTGGGACTGGGGGAGTCCTTGTTGTGGTGGGCTACCCTGTGCATTGTGAGATGTTTGTGGTGTCCCTGGTTTTATCTGAGATGCCAATAGAATCCTCACAATTGTGACCATCAGAAGTACCTCTAGACATTGCCAAATATCCCCTGTGGAGCAAAATTGTCCCCATTTTAGGCCACATATAGCCATGTTCTCTCTCTGTGAATAATTCAAAATAATTATTTTAAAACATTTTTCTGAAAAAGGCATATTTTGAAGTACTTATGTTAGGAGAATATGTACTATGAAATTATGCTTTGTGAGTTTTTGAGTAGTGAACTTCGGGTTTTATTTATTTTCCTGGTTCTTAGAGACATCCAATTTTTATAGCCCAGGGCAAAAAATAATAGTTTGATGTAGCCAATTGTTACTGCTTTCTTTAGGTCTAACTATGTAGTTCATATTAGCTTTCTATATCTTTCTTTTCTGGGTCATTTTTGTTTGTTTGTTCTTTGAGACAGGGTCTCATGTAGCCTAGGTTAGCCTTGAACTTGATTATGTAGCTGGGATGACCTTGAACCTCTGATTATCTTGCCTCTACGTCCTAAGTGCTGGGGTTGTAGGTGTATGCCTCCATGCCTAGTTTTATTTGGTGCCAGCAATCAAACCTAGGGCTTCATGCATGCTAGGTAAGTACTCTACCAACCTAGCTACATCCTAAGCCCGTTTTCTGTATTTTTCCTTTCTTATAGGTGAATCCCACCCCAGCTTTCTAGTTCTTTAAGTTCAGAATTAATGGCCATTATATTTACTGGCCTACCTCTTATTAGTTATCTCTTAATCAGGCATTGAATATATCAGTGCTAGTGAGGTTAGTCTTCATAATGTTACCTTTTTTTTTTTTTTTTTTTGGTCTTTTTGAGACAGGGTCTCCCTGTAGCACCAGTTGACCTGAACTGGACCTTGCTATGTAGACCAGGCTGGCCTTGAACTCACAGAGATCCACCTGCCTCTGCCTCCAGAGTGCTGGGATTAAAGGTGTGTGCCACCATGCCCAGCTATAATGTTACTTTTGTTATATCCTTCTCCCCTACTTAAAATTTTATTGTTCCCATTGCTCTGAGATAACATCTTTTCATATTCAAGATACTTAGTAGTTTGACATAGAACTGCTATTTCAGCCTTCTTTACTAAAGCTCCCTATATCAACTCTTCAAATGTGTCTCGTAGTCCCCAGAGGGTGCCTATGTTTCTGCTTTTCATTACAACTCTGCGGTAAAGCACTGCCTTTTTTTTTTTTTTGGTACAAATCTAAATCTTAACCTTTCAAACTTTGGTCTGTTTCTGTTCTTCTGTGGTTCTTTCCAGTTATTTTCAGACCTGTATATATTATTACTTTCTCAAAATAAGTCATTGGTAAATGCGTTAAATGCATTTTTTTTTTTTTATTAGTCAGGATTCCCACTTGGAAGCTACATAAACCTAACTTGCAAAGAGCTTAAGAAGAAATGCTTGAGTCTTTCCTCTGTATGATGGCTTTATTCTTAGGCAAGTTTTTTTTTTGTTGTTGTTGTTGTTGTTGTGGGCCAAGGATAACCACAAGCTGTTTGCTAATATGGAGGAAAGAGCACGACCTCATATTAATACCCTCCAGTTTCTCTGTTGGCCGAGAAAGCTTGGATGGCATGTCCATTCGTGAATCACGACCACAGAAGATTAGAATACTTTATTGAACTGGTGAGCCTGGTTATAAGCTTTACCTCTGTTGTGAGAATGATGGTGTCTCTTGATTTACAGATTAGGTCCTCCAGCATCACATTGGAGAAGAGCAGTGTTCAAAATGAAGAGTTGTAGGCCAGATTAAAATGAAATAGATGTGTACTATGACACTACATTGTTAGTATTTGGGGAATCATTTGAATCTGCATTCTTGTTTTACTTTTTTAAAGGTTCTCTATTCAGGAATGGGGATATAGCTCATTTTTTAAGAGTGCTTGCCTGTGCATGAAGCCTGGGGCTTAAACCCCAAGAATTAAAAGTGTTTTGTAATTGGCTTTAAAATATATTGAAAGCCCCATCAATGTAGAACTTTTTTTTAATGTGTCTGCGTGTATTGCCTGCATGTAGGTAAGTGCACATGTGTTGTCCAATGCCCGCAGAGGACAGAAGAGGCTGTCAGATCCCCTGGAACTGGAGTTACAGACAGTTGTTAGCTGCCATGTGGGTGCTGGGATTCGAACCCGGGTCTTCTGCAAGAACAGCCAGTGCTCTTAACCACTGAGCCATCTATCTCTCCAGCCCCTCAATGTAGAATTTTATCCCCTTCTGTATAGTCATTGGTACTTTGATCCATGCTCACTTAATTGGAATATTTTCATTGATAGATTTGCCAAGTGTTTTCAGAGTGAAAAATGGCTAACTGGTATTTGGTTGGTATTTGGTGCTTGCAATATTACTTTAAGGCCTGAGAATCAGTTCCTTATGTAAGTTGACTACTAATATTGGCCTGTAGTGTGAATTTTTAAATGAAATCTTTTTTCTGCTTCTTTAAATACATTTTACCAAACATTTTAAAGGAAAATTGTCTTATCTTACAGATGGATATAAAGCTGAAAGAACAGGTTGTCATTTTAGATGAAGCTCATAACATTGAAGAATGTGCTCGGGAATCAGCAAGTTACAGTGTAACAGAAGTTCAGCTTCGGTTTGCTCGGGATGAACTAGATAGTTTGGTCAACAGTAATGTAAGGAAGAAAAACCATGAACCCCTACGAGATATGTGCCATAACCTCATTAAGTAAGAGTTTTTATTGTATTTGTACATTTTTATTGTATTTAATATATTTGTATTGACTTTGTACTAAAGACATGGTTTATTATGTCAGGACATTTAAAAAAATAATTTATTGAGAATTTCATACATGCATATAAAGTGTTTTGATCAAATCCATGCCCACTCCCTCCCCTCCAACTCCTCCCATATCTCCCCATCAAGTTTTTCTGATAACCTCATGTACTCTTTCTTCTTTTTTCTTTTATGAGGCCTTTTGCTACTCTAACATTCCCCCCTCTGAAGAGGTAACCCTAAAATCTTTTAAGGATTAGATAGATACTTTCGACATTTTTGGCCTTTGGAATGGAGTATGTTGCCAAGAGGCCCAAGGACATTTTTACTTTTAGCCAAGAAACTGGCTACCTTTCTTTGGGGTCTTTTTATCCTAACTGCCTAGCCAATTCCTACCTCCTATTCTTATCATACCATCCTCTGAAGAGGTTACCCAACTTGCAGATAAGGATGCAGACTGCTCTGGCTTCTTCCATGCAGAACAGGGATGCAGGGTGAGGCAATTTGGGTCTATCTAAATTGCATAACTCTTATCTGTAAGGGGAAAAGAAAGTTCTTGACTGGTGAATAGGAGATGTGAAGAAGTAAAGGCAAGAGTAATTAGCATTACAAGTTCTAGACAGGGATCTAGAAAAAAGTCAGAATAGGGCAAGTTTCAAATGTTCATATGAGAGTCCATTGGAATTTCTTGACAAGGGCTTCCAAACACATCCCTCTATTGGGTTCCTCCTCATTTTTCTTTTGTCTGCCAAGGCTGGACTCAAGAGTGATGGATTTAGGATTTGCTTTCAGGCACTTTGCTTTTTTTGTTGTTGTTGTTTTTTTCTGATGGGATTGCATTTATTCAAGGGGCACAGCATGGGACAAAGCCTTCCTGCATGATGGAAGCAACTGTGCTGTGAATCAGGAGAGTTAGTGATCATATAGCGGCTAGGGCATGAGGAAACGACTGGGGTCCGCTTGCAGCTGCAGGTGTCTCCAATGTTTCATCTTCTGGGGTCCCTTGCTCAAGCCTGCTTTCAGGCACTTTGATAACATCACATGGGGGCAGGATCCAGGTGCTCTCAGGCGGACCTCTGAGTTTTCAGCCCCTATTCCAAAGGAAGGATGGAACAGGCACCATGTCAGGGCATTTTAAAGTTAGTAAACTTTGAGGGTTGGAGAGATGGCTTAGTGATTAACAGTGTGTGCTGCTCTTCAGAGGACCTAAGTTCAGTTCCTGGTACCCATGTTGGGTGGCTCACAACTGCCTGTAACTTCAGCTCCAGGGGATCAGATGTTCTCTTCTGACCTCTGCAGATACCTGCACATATGTAGAGCACGCACACACAGACCCAAACACATACACATAAGTAAGTAAGTAAGTAAGTAAATAAATAAATAAATAAATAAATAAATAAATAAATAAATAAAGTTGGTAAACTTTGATTGTCCAGGCTGTTTGGGAAATGGGTTGTTTCTTACCAGTTAAATTTTCTTTAAAGCTAGTCAAGCCAGTTGTGGTGGCACACACCTTTAATCCCAGCACCCAGGAGTTGGAAGCAGGGAAAATCTCTGAGATGGAGGCCAGCCTGGTCTACATAGGGTGTTCTAGGCCAGCTGGGGCTACAGGGAGACCCTGTCTCAAAAAAACAAAAGAAGCTAATGAAACTTTTTGTCTGATTCAAAAATATATAATGAAGGTAATTGATTTTAAAAGTCAGTAATTCTGAGACTCCATTTCCAGTTTATCAGGATAATTGAATAACCCCATAGCATGTTTATAGGATATAGAACAGAAACTAATTTTTTTATATTTATATATTTTAAAAATTTGAAAAAAATTCAAAAGGGGGTTGCTGGAGAGGTGACTCAGCAGTTAAGAGCACTGGCAGATCCTCTTGAAGAGGATCCAGGTTCAGTTCTCAGCACCCACATGGTAGCTAACAACTGTTTTTAACTCCATAGTTCCAGAGAATCTGATGCCCTCTTCTGACTTCAGTGGGCATTGTACACACATCGTGCACTTACATATTTGCAAGCAGAACACTCATACACATAAAAAATAATATTATGAATAATTGCTTTATTGCCTTTCCCCCCCATAGTAGTACAATTTTGGTATGGTGCATTTTAATTAAGAGAGGTTTCAGTACTTTAAAATAACAGATTTAGTAAAATTGATTTATTAAAATTTATGTTAAGAGCCAGGCATGGTGGCGCACACCTTTAATCCCAGCACTCGGGAGGCAGAGGCAGGTGGATCTCTGAGTTCAAGGCCAGCCTGGTCTACATAGTGAGTTCCAGGACAGCTGGGGCTAGAGGGAGAGCCTGTCTCAAAAAGACCAAAAAAAAAAAAAAAAAGAAAATTTACATTAAGAGACTGGAGAGTTGGCTCAGTGGTTAAGAGCACTGGCTTCTTTTGCATATACCAGGGTTTGACTTCCAGCACCTACGTGTGGGAAACAACAATCCATAACTCTAGTTCAAGGGATCCAACACCCTCTTCTGGCTTTCTGAGGCATTGCGTGGCACAGGTGCACTTACATACATGCAGGCAAAACGTTCTAACGTTAAATAAAAGTAAATTTAAAAAATTAAAAACTTTGCATTAATTTCTCTGTCATACTTTGTTATTGTCTAGAATCATGTTATCTCAGAAAACATCTGGTTCTGTTTCATTCCATATACTGTGGCATTTTTCTATTTCATTATGTACAATTAAAAATTTAAATGTTGTACAGTCACATTGTTTGAACATAAAATCTGTGCTTCCTTAGTAAGAGCCTTTTTTCATCCATACCTTCCCTGCTTTGTTCTTTCTCCTAAACAAGGCTATTCAGAGCTTATTTATGTCTGTGAGTCAGCATGGATACATCATCTTTGTTCTCATTTTTTTGCCCAAATGATGGCATACTGTACATACTGTTTATGCACCTGACTCTTCATTTGAGGTGTATTTTGTTGTTGCTTGTTGCATGGGAAAGTGCGTCCGCCGCCCCTTCACTCTTCCAGTGCTGGGTGCTGTCTCCCGGCTCCGCTCCTCTGCTTGCTCGGATGCCGCGGGCACCGCCTCCTGGGCGCTGCCTCTGATCACATGGGTACCGTCTTCGCTCTTCGCTACTTCTGCCCGGTCCTGGACCCTAGGGCTGTTGAGGAGACTGTGTCAGCGGAGCCGAATTCAAACACAGGAGCCCAGGTTCATTGACACAGATCCGGTTTATTGCAGAAGGGCACACGCTTATACAGGGGTAGGGGTCCAATCAAGAAGTTACAACTTAGATCTTTGGCAGGGCTGTGTCCTATCATGACATCGCCAGCCAGACTCCTCATTAGCATAATGGGTTTTAAGTTACTTAGGTTCGGGTTTCCTTATAGAGCCTGGTTTCCTGGGAACCACGTGACCTAGGCTGTCTAAGTGCTGCAATTTGGGGTCTCAAGGGTGGTGATTAGGGAGTGGCGAGCTCTAGGCATCAGTCTCATGATCTGCCAATGGGAGCAAATGTCACAAGGTGTTCCTTGTGGCTCCAGCGGTTGGGCCTTTGCCTTGGGCCTGCTGTATGGCTGTCAATAAGACTTTTACCCTAGGCTCAAGCCTGTCTCCCACAGGAAAGTGGTATCAGAGTAATTTTCATTTAATTTCTCTCAAAATGAATGGAATTAAACATCTTTAAGGACCATTTATAGGTTCCTTTTGTATGAACTATTTGTTGACATCTTTTCTTCTTATTGTTACAATTCTTTTTCTCTTTGGTGTATTAAAGCTCTTCGTATAATAAAGTTCTGTCCTTCCACCTTTACATGGCTTTTGAGATCAAACTTGGGCTCTCGGACTTGCATGATCAATCAAGCAGGCACCTTTATTAGCTTGCCTGTCTTGTTTGCAATTTTTTCTTCCAGGTAGAATTTTCTCATTTTCACTTCTTGGCATAACTTGTAGCCTGTGGTTGATGATTCTCTTTTTCATTTTACACTCCTCCTTCATCCATCCTAGTGTTGCTTTTCTTGTCAGGGCACCAGTGATCTGTCACCAAAGCCAATGACTCTTTTCTGTTATCTTTTAGCAAGGTTGGGAGTTGCTGCTGATCAGCCTCCTTGAAAAGCATTTTCAAAAATTTTATTATTAGTATTGTGTGTATATGCATGCATGCACATATGGGCATGCCATGACATGTATATGGAGGTCAGAAGACAACTTTTTTCTTTATTATTTTTATTCTGTGTATATTAGTAAATTACTTGCGTGTATATAAGTGCACCTATGTCATGCAATGCCTATGAAGATCAGAAGAGGGCATTGGATTCCCTGGGAACTGGAGTTACAGATGGTTGTTAGCTGCTGTGTGGGTGCTGGGAATTGAACCTGGGTCCTTTGCAAGAGCAGCCAGTATTCTTAACCATTGAGCCATCTCTCAGCCCTCAGAGAACAACTTTTTTTTCCCCAGTTAATTATTTATTTAATAACCACATACTTAGAAGAAGCATTTCATTACAACAGCATTGACATATTCAATAACAATTCTCAGAGCTAAGATATATCTCTTTCAAAATTGACTGTAAATTTTTAGGTTCACAGTTGAATTAATACAGTTATACAATATTGAACTCTGTATAAAGCCCATAAGACATAAAATTGAATGAGGTTTTAACCTTTAAGAAACATCTGCATTTCATTTTAAAATATATTGTTTCATACAGAAAACAATATCATTTTTAATGCTACCAACACTTAGATGTTTGCATATGCATCTCTAATCTCTATGTACCTGAGTATTACTAGTCAGAGTCGGTTACTTTCTGAGATCCTTGGCACCTGAGCATGGATATAAGGTCATCAGGTAGATTTTAATGGTAGTATTTTTCACCTCTACTAATTAACATGAACAGTCGGTTACTTTCTGAGCTCCTTGGCATCTGAGCATGGATATAAAGTCATCAGGTAGATTTCAATGGTAATGATTTTCACATCTACT